CGGGTTACTTAATAAATTAATATAAATATTTACAATAATAATGCATAATAAAGTATGTATGTGATTGATTTTCAAATAAAAATGACAGAATTTACCGTCATCTGTACTCCTATACTATAAACTGATAAAAACTGATTATCGATTATAAATATAATCAGTTATCAATTTTACAAAATTCTGAACCGGTTTTAATCCGATTTGATAAAAACTGGTTATAAATCTGATATTGATAACCGGTTTTGACCTCTAATTAAGCCAAAATAGGTAAAAGCTTTATTAATGTGATTTTGTGTGATTTTACTAGAAACAGACTTGAGTTTATAAGTAGATATTGATTAATAGTAGGAATTTCATTAATAATATTAAAAGAAAGTTCAGATGGTTTATTAAAACATCATCTATAGCATTTAAAAATAATTTTCTATTGTTAAATTTTATAAAGATATTAGCATTACCATTATAGAATTTTCAATCTATATTAATAAAGCCTGATTTTTGAGAAAAAAAGAGAAGAAATAAAATCTAATTTGTTTATCCTAGTTTCTCTTAGCATGGCAAAAGCTAAAAGTGATATGAAAATACCTTTTTTATTATTAGGTTATTTTATGTAATAAGTGTTTTTTAAATTATGGTAGAGATCATTTTTGTGTAACTTGTAGTTTTATTTATTATTATTGATTGAGTTGTATAATGATATATTTATCCTAAGACTGATATTTTGGTAGAATAAAATGGTTATCAGTTGTACAATATGAAATATATAATATCAGAAAATAAATCAACAGTTAATAATATTAATAAAGTCCTACTAATATTTTATGTTATTGTCTTAAATCCTTAACGAAAGTTGACTATTAGCTAATAAGCTCAATAAATTTTTATATTTCATTGCAATGTATAGCTACAATTAAAAAAATATTCATACCTTATTCAGAATATTCATTTCTAACAGCAATTCTTTATATTATGATATGTGTTTTAGAAAATATTATTGCGAATAAGGTAGCTTATGTGTGAAATTTTGCAATGAAAAATCTGGATTAAAAAATATTAGTAATACAAACACAAATTCTGATAAACATATCTCATTTATTTGTCTTTATATCCAATGAACTGAATTTTTTTTATAAAGAAACTTACATTTATTAAATAGTATAAACATGCAAACATATAAATTCTATAAAAGCAAATTCTTATAATAATAATAAATTGAAATTTTTCTTAAAAAAAACTATTTAACAATATCATACGAACTTTACTGCATCATATGATTTTGAATATATAACGATTTAATAAATTGGATAATGCACATTCCTCTTTATAAAACAGCTCCTTATTATTAGTTACAATTGACATTTCAAAGTCAATTATATAAATTTTACCTTTTTCATTAATTAGGATATTCTCTTTTTGAATATCATTGTGTAGAATTCTATGACTATTAATTGCCCTTAATACTTTAAAAGTCTTATCTCTTTGATTATAATCTATCCTATAGTAATTTAAAGTAATTCTAACAATAGTTATACACATAAAATAGCCTATCCTATATCCATAATAGTCATAACTTAACAATTTTAGAATACACCTCTCTTGAATTTTAATAAGAGTTTGTAGAGTTTAATTTCTTTTTAATTTTACGCAAAAGATTAGCTTTTTTATATAGATCAATAGCCTTCAAAGCAACTGGCTCTCTATGGAATACTACTTTAAATGTCCTTTCAGTTTGTTTACATTCTAAAATACCCTCAAGCTTAAAATCTTTATAGTCATAAGTCTGTTCTTGCATTTCTATTATAGAATCTCAATCCTCAGAACTTTGATCACTGGAATCTTGCTGATTATGATAATTGGTACCTAAACCCAAATTTTGACTTTAATCATTAAAACTTTGATTATTGAAACCTGAGTTTTAATTCCTAAAACCTTGTCTGGTTTGTCTTAAAATTAAATTAGGATGAGAGAATTCAGGATTAATATTTACCAGGTGAACTAAAAATACATAAGTTTTAAGTATTGGCAGATTTGTTAATTTAAATGGAAGAGATTCTAAAATTAATAATACTAATGGATTATCGTTTGGACAGCAAAAAGAAAAGTGGTGATCATAGCTTACAAGTATACTATATTGCAATTCATCCATAACTATATAGTTGTAAAGCTGACTAATTATATTAATTAAATCACCACTTGCATAACCAGTAAAATGGTTATCTTCATATTTGAATATATATCTAAATTAATCTCAAATACTGTTTTATTATATAGTCTCTTTTGACTTCAATTTCAATGATTTTTTTTCTCATATAATCATTAGGATCATTATATTTTTGATAAGTAAATCTGATTTTTTGAAGCCAATGTTTTGGATCATCATTATTAAAAACAGAATTATTTTATTTTAAAAACTCAAATTCTGGTAACAAGAACTGGTTCAATATATGAAAAATATTAATATCTATAGCTGTTTTAATGCTATTTTTGACATGAGCTCTTAAACCTTCAACAAATTGTAGCCTCTCAAATTTTAGTGTTTGATTGAAGCTGAACCTAGTTACTTCTTCAAGGAATCCATTCTAATGAATTATTCTTGATGGCCAGATACTACTAGTATTTGTTGAATAACTCAAATTACTAGCATCCTGAGGATAACTGATGGCTGGCAGAATACACGATAAATATTTTTCTAAATTTAGAAGTCCTAAAATAAATAAGAAATGAGATAAGGTAAATATATACAGTCTAACTTTGATATACTGATAGTTTATATACTGATAATTGACATATACTGGTAAATTTCTTTTGTCCTATTTCACAATTAATAAAAAAATCTTACTATACTGACATTATATATTGTTTCATAATATAACATATACTGATGCAATTTTTTTGTTCCTTAATAAGTGAAATATAGTACTATATACTGATATTTCAAATTATACCAGCATATAAACTAGTTTTTTTTGTTTTAACATGTCATATTTTAATTAGTAACAATGTCTCAACAAAGAAAAAGAAAGTTTATTCAAGATACCTTTCAATCAAATAAAAGAGTTGTATTGATACATGTATAAAAGCGTCAACTCTGTTTAGATTCTCAAAAAATACCATGCTTTACTTAAGAAGAACTTGCTATTTTATATAAAGTTAAGCAAAATACTATTTCAGATATTTTAAAAAAAAAAAGAAAAGTAGTTACTTGTAAACTCAGATTCTGAAGATACAAATAAACAGAAGAAGAGACCTGTTTATTTTCCTCAAGTAGAAGAAGCCCTTTTATTATAAGTAACAAATGCACTTATTAAAAAACTTACCATTAACACTGATATTTTATGTGAAAAGGCAAAATATTTTGCTTAGCAATTTGAAATCAATAAATTTTTATTTTCTAATAGATTGATTGATAAATTTAAAAAATGCCATAATTTAAAAGAATACATTAAGTAGGATGAAGCTAAAAGTACGCCATTAGAAACCTTAGATGAAGAAAGAGATATTTTATGTGAAATTATTAAAGATTATAACTTAAATGATGTTTTTAACTATGATGAAATAGTTAAGTATTTTTTTTCCAATAAAGCTCCTATTTTTTTATATTTTAAGATTTATTTATTTTAGGATTGTATTGAAATCTTGAACCATCAAAAATATTAGCATAAGGGCCTCTTTCAGGAACAAAGAAATCTAAAAAGCGGGTTACTCTACTTCTTACATGCAATGCTACCAGTACTGAAAAATTAAAACCATTATTCATTCATAAATACCAGAATCCATAAGCATTAAATGGAAAAAAAAGAAGAATTACCAGTAAATTATTACTGGAATTTAACTGTATGGATGCAAGTTAGTATTTGGAATGATTATCTTAAAAAATTAGATAGGCAAATTAGATTACAAAATTGCAATATCCTTTTACTTGTTGATAATGCTCCTGTAGACATTATAAATGAAGATGTTAATTTAACAAATGTGGTTGTTCATTTTTTGTTACCAAATACTACATCTCATTTACAGCTATGCGATGCAGGGATCATTAATTTCTTTAAAGTTAATAATTTTTATTATTAATTTGCAATAGTAATTTTTTTATGAAAACTAATTTGATTCATGGTAAATTCTCAATAATTAGGCACAGTACTGGAAATTACTTGTTAGAAATAGAATTGAAGCATATGAAATTTCACAAGAACTTAACAAAGAGCCTACTTACTCCTATAAATATTCATGATTCTATTGATTTCAGCATGAATGCTTGGAATTCTGTAAGTCAACAAACTATTATTAATTGTTGAAAGCATACAGGAATTCTACCATTAAATGAAATGGACGAAATTGGTGAAACTGAAGATTAAATATTACATGATGAAATGGAATTACAAGATTTAATTAACGAGCTACCATTTGATAACCTTATGGATGCAGATGAATTTCTTCATATTGATGATTGTTTGAAAAGTAATGAAGGGTTAATCAATGATGAAATTGTGTCTATGATAAAGTCAAAAAATAATAATGAACCAGAAATGGATCCAGATGAAGAACCTCCAGTAGTAATTTCTGAAACAAAAGCTTTAGGTTATTTGAATGATCTTGTTTTATTTTTTAAACATTCATCGGATGTTTGTATTAACCCAAATGAATTAAGTATATTGCAGAAGTTAAGGCATCAAGTATTAAAATTACATGTTAATAACTCAAAGCAAACTACGTTAAATAATTTTGTTCAAATCCTTTAATATAGTTTTTATATTATATACACTATTTTAATATAAATAATATACTAATAAAATGCGTTACTAAATTTAAATAAAAAAATAAATATAAATAATATATCGTTATTTTTTTCAAAGTATTTTGTTAGAATTTGACTTAAATGAAATTACTTTATTAAATAATTTATTTTACATTGTAATTTTATACAAAATTTTATATACCGATATTAATCTACATTTTATTATTAATATCGATATATAAAATTTTCATAATGTACCGATATTTTGATATACCGATATTTTTTCCAAAAACATCTATATCAGTATATAGAGGTTTGACTGTACTACGGAAAATAACTGACTAGAAAGGCATCTGTTGAATAACACGCGAGGGTACAAACGTTGAACTATTATATGATAAACCTACTTTGATTATTTAACTTAATGACAAACTTTGATATTATTTTTGCTGGTCCTAGTTTAAATCCATATCGTTCCAAATCAACTTTTTCAATTTTAGAAAATCATAACCGGAGACTTCATTTTCGCGGAGGACATCAATATGATCTTCTCTAAGATTTAAAATTCGTTGATTTTGTTGATTTTGTAAGTAAGTGATAAGAATTTCCGTATCATATCCTTCAATATCTTCGACGCGAGGGGTAACAGGAGTACTTGTAGACATTTTAAGAAAATATATAATGTGACGTGTACAATTCAGAAAAAAGAAAATATTTGCAAAAAAGGTGTGTGTGGATATGGAGGAACAGTATATAAAAAATCTATTATCGCACAAAACAGAATAATAGATCATCACATCCTTTCGTGACTACAACAACTTCTAACTTCTTTTTTAATTTGATCGGTTACTATTTTAGTAAAAATTAAAATTCTATTTTAAAGCTTAAATGACACGTGATCTGCATGGTTAAATAACTATATATATGAAGCAAGCAAGCAGATCATCTTTGTTAAATCATGACAGATACAGTCTCTACAAAATTTGAACCAAAATATTATTTTGCTAATGAAGAGGAAAATCGATCAAGGTTATGGAATGATAAATCATGGTGTACCATAGCAGAAGCAAATGTTTCTTTTAATTTAGAAGCATTTTGGAAAGTTGTGGTTGGTAAAATTGAAATGTAATTTTTTTTTTTTAAATTAAAAATAAGAAATTAAAAATTTTTTTTATTGTAGGAACGTTGGACAAATGAAGTGCATTTAGTAATTCCGCCTATTGAACGCGTTGAAATTATAAATGATATTGAAAATAAAACATATGATTCAACACATGACGAATGTCTTGCAAGGATAGATCCAATACGAAGTATTAACAGAAAATTAATTCCTAAAAGAAAGAATAAGGATGATGAATTAGAAGAATTGGTTGAATATTATATAGATGAAAATTTAAATGGTATCAATAATTTATATTATATTTGAAGAGGTTTAGATACATATATGTTAACAAAGATTCTTAATATTTTAATTTAGAAAGTCGAGTTGTATATACACCGATATTAGCAAATTCTAAGGAACTTTTACATGAGAATATTCCTTTTTATTATCCAAAGGTACGAAGCGTTGTAATATCTCCTAGTTTATATAATTAATTACTTATAATTATCGATTTTAGGTAACCAGCTTCAGCTACGTTTATAAGGAATGCGGCCAAAGAACTTCTTCAAATGATGATTCGGAAATTGATTATCAATCACAAATATTTATTGAAATTATTCCCTTACTACAATCCTTTGAAATAACTGATAAAATGGTAAGTAGTTTATAGATTTATTTATTTAATTGCATAATAATTAAAATTATTATTTTTAAATTTTTTTAATTTAAATTTAAGAAATATGCATACAAGCAATTATTTAAAAAATTATACAAATGGTGTCAAAATACATCAATGGGTTATGAAAAACGTATTCATCATGATTTATTAGTACCAAAAGAATTATATAAAAAAACTTATCAAAGATTAAAAAATAAATATGCAACTGATTTAGTCAGGTAATTCCGTTTTTTAAAGTTTTTCCTTCTTTGATATACTTTCCTTTATTGACTACCATAATTTTTTTTAAAAGAAACTGGACTGAAAAGACAGATCCTATTAAATTCGTATTCGAAGACATTGCTATAGCAAGTTGGCTAATTTCTATATGGGAATTAGAAAGAGTTGAACAAAAATCATCAATATTACAATCTTTTATTGATTTGGGTTGTGGTAATGGATTGTTAACCTTTATTTTATCATCTGAAGGATATATTGGATTTGGAATTGATTCAAGAAAAAGAAAGATATGGGATGTATTCATTGAGAAAGGCGCTAAATTAATAGGTAATGTTTGCAATAAAAATATATACAAATATATATATATCATATGATATCTTGAGACTTTTTTTTTTAATTTTAGAAGGAACGATTCAGCCAAATTTAATAACTTATCCAAGTATAGATTGGATAATAGGGAATCACGCAGATGAACTTGTTCCATGGTAATAAATCATCCAAATGATGATGATTATTAATTACGCGATTTACTTTAGCTAACAATTTCAATTTTTTATTATTAATGACTATAGGATACCTATAATATCATCAAAATCATCATCATCTACTAAGTAAATTAATTTAAAAAATTTTCTTAATTAGTATAATTGAATATTAAATATCGGTTTTATTTAGATTCATGGTAATTCCGTGTTGTTTTTATTCATTATCTGGCTCGAAATATACTTTTCCAAACAAAACAATAACTTCGGGAAGATATAAAGCATATCAAGAATATATTGAAGATATAATAAAGAAATGCGGATTTATTACAGAAATTGATTGGTTAAGGATCCCTAGTACAAAAAACGTTGTATTGGTTGGAAGAAAAAGAGTTGATAATTCTAAAAGTAAGTTGAAATTTTTAAGGTAAAATATTTCTTTGAAAATATGAAAATCATATTAATTAATTTATTTATAATGATTGCTTATTAGATAATGTAATAAAAGATCAAATCGATCAATTAATATTAAATGCTGGATCTATTACCATCAGAAGTTCTTAGATACTTGTTTTATGTTAGTTATCCAAACGGTTAATAACATTAAAAATATCGATAATTGTCGAAGGGATGCATAATTACACAATCATATAATATACAGCAAAAAAAAAAAATAACATATAACGTAATTCTTTCAATCTTCAGAAAATCACAATGAAATTTTTTTTGCAAAAAGGTTAACTTTGATGTAGAGAATCTTTGATCGCATCACGATGAATGACATCTAACTCTACTACAAGCTAAATGAGCATAATGCAATGAACAACAATAGAAATTGTGCTTGTATTTCGCATACAAATAACACAAGTTGTATGATAAGGTTTGAAGTGGAGCGGGTGTTATGACGATGTTGATACGGGACCTTTACAATAGAAAGGGGGAAAAAAGCGATTTACTTTTTTATGCCAAATATGATTTTTAGGTCAGAGTTAGCATTAACTCATTTTTTATTTTTTTCCAGTCTTTTCTATTGCAAAGGTATATATAGTTGGTTAAATTTAAGTGAATTGCAAATTTTAAAAGTTGAGAAAACTATTGAGAAACTGCACAAAGCAAATATTGTCTTTGCTGACCTTTGTGATTACAATAACTTGGCTTGGTTGGCCAATGTCATGGAACGTTAGTAGATTTTGACTGGACCGGCCAGGAGCTGTCCATCTTTCATGAATCGACAAATTTGGGGTTGGGTTGATAAGCAGAAATTGAGTTGGAAACACGATGAGTACTGGTTTGAGTCATTGATATTTGAGCGATTAATATAGTATATTATACAATTTGATATCACAAATCATTGAAAGAATAGCAAACACAAATTTCTCATGTATTTCAAAGCTACTCGTGTCAAATGTAATTTGTTAATAAATAGGTCATTGTGTGAATTGTTGATAATTGTGTTATCTGCAGAAATTGAATATAAAAGATTTTTATAGAAATGAAACGATTTCAATAGGCACGGATGTTGATCAATCATAAAAAATTATTTCAAAAGAAACAGATTTTGTTAAGAAATTAAAAACTATAACTGCCTCAGCCGACGTTCTGTAATAGGCCTGAGAGAAAATTCCAAATTCTCTAAAATTATCCTGATTACTTCCTATAAAAAAAAAAATAGCAAAAACGAAGTTATTTATACAAAATTCTATCTAGGAGTTACGATCAATTGACCTATTCGCAAGATCTGATATTTCGATCAGTAAGCAGAAAATTAACAGAATACGACGCCGCAACTCTTAAATTTGGTGCAGTTAGTAACAGATCGGTATGAAGTGCTAATCAAAATGAAATTTCTAGCCTTTTCTTTACAGGGTCCGTAATTTTAAATGATCACAAAATATTTGTCGCAAAATAAAAAATAAGTTGGATTAAATTATTAATTTTTTTTTATCAAGTAAAATGAAAAAAAAATTCAAAACGAAACCAACTAATCAAAATTATCGTTAAATCAGTATGTGCATTTAGAGCGATTTACCTGATAAGTATTACTTATCACCTGCCATTTACACTAAAGTAGATAGTTAATATTATAGTTCACGTTTGTATACATGCATTTATTACTTACAAAATTTTCGTTTCCATTTTAAAATGAATTAAAACATTTTAGAATCCAATATGAATTAAGGGACATTTGGTAAATATAAACTACATAAATTTCCAATCGATCTATTTTAAAGGAATCATCATATGAATGCTCTTAATAAAGACAAAGCTTAAAGATACTTAATTTGATACATGTCAGGATAATTCATCTGGAAATGTTAAAGAATTTAAATGACAACAATGCGATAATTAACAAAATGTGCAAAGTATTTAGTATAATTTTTTATTTAAACTTTCAATTATAAATATTAAAAATTTCGAAACCAACATTTTCTTGTATCTTTGACATATTTTAGCATGTAATTTTTATAATAAAATGTGCAATAATTTGGAACAAGAAATCAATATATATAAAAAAAAAAAAATAAACACACTTTAAAATTCCTTAAAATGCAATCATGAAAATTCGAGAATGCCAAACTTTTCAATAAGTTAATTATCAATTCGTTATTAATAATTTATTATTGTAGCTTAATCAATTGTTAAGTACAATCACATAATTGTTTAAATGATGTCGATCAGGGGATAATAAGTTGTCCGCGTTGTGTGCATTATTTTAATATTTTCTCTAATTTTCTTTTTTGATAATATAGATTATACAAGCATTACATAGTCCCATGGGGTGAGCGGTCAACTAATTTTACTATTGAACTTTTTTTCATGTATACATAACGATAAATGTCGATCCCATTATATTTTCCGAATGTTTAAAAAATTTAACTTATAACGTATATACATGTACATTATTTATTTATTACCTAATAAACAATTAAAAAGATGTGATGCAATTTCTTCTCCAAATGATGGTGATTGCTTATCTTGAAGCGGAATTTGTTTTTCATTTTCTCTTCTTTGAACACGAATTTCTTTAAGACCTGCAGATAAATCCTCTTTTTCAATCTTACCCGAGGCTAATCGAAGTTTTGATTGTTTAAGAAATAATGACATATTCGCATGAGTTTTTAAATCTAATTTATTGAAAAGTCCTTCGACCTGTTGCTGATGGATAATAATAAAATAAATATGTGTTGTAACGAAATTGTAGAGATGAGGAAATTTATATAGTATAGGATTATCGGCCTTGCAAAATTCTTCAAATTCATCATCAAATTCTTTATTATCCAATACCATTTCTTTTAAACCAAAAGTATCATTAATTCCACAATTAATATCATTTTCTAGGTCTTTTGCAAACCTTAATTCCCTATCTGTAGGCGTTTTATTCCAGTCTCTTTTTAAAATTATAAAACGAAAACTATTGGCGAATGAATGTGCAAAGTCTCCACCTAGATGGCAAATTACTAAAGGTAAATGAAGCCATGAATTAAACCATCTTTCAAAATATTCATAGGCTTTATTCATTCCACTTTCCAAATTATTAAAAAAGCCTTCAAATTCGTCATTTGGCAATGTTTCAATAGCTTCTAATAATTCATCAGTGAAAAACATATCTACATTATTTTTAAGATACTTAAGAAAAGCTTTCCATTCAAAAACTTTCTCTGGCATTTCATGTGCTCGTCTTCCAGGAGGTAATTGAACCAACTTTTCATTTTGTATAATTCGTAAATTAGGATCCCTACCCATTATATAAATTGTACAGTGGGGTATCAAAAGTCACCGGGCATTTGCGATGTCGATCATTTTTTGAAAAATTATATCGAATTTTTAAATTGAGATAACTTACGAACTATCGCATCAATTTGAATGAAATTTTTTTTATATTAATCATATAAATATATATTTTATAATTTTATTGTTAATATTTTGTAGGATTGCCTTTATTTTCAATAACAGCAGCAATACGACGTGGCATACTATCAACAAGATTTTTATAAATACTTTCATCAAGTTTTAACCATTCGTTCTGCAAAATCTGCCATAAATCATCTTGATTTTTTGGTAGTGGTTTATGTTTTCTGAATTCTTGGTATATAAACAGAAGTATCGATTCCATGAACAACTGCATTATAAGCATATCTCATCAAGCCCATCCAACATTTCAGTAGCTGCTTTTGAGGGTAATTTGGACACACTTTGATTAGCAGTGTACGATTGAGAGTGGTTTCCAAGTGTTGTCACTTGTTGCGCGCTAATGTTATTCTAATCTTTGTCTTGCGCTTTTTTCCTAATCTGGCGTTCTCGTCAGTGAATAATGGCTCTTCTTCCTTGCATTCAACGGATAAAGACTGTGTTGATTGCAAGGATATCTTGGGAAAGTTCGTGTTCATCGAAGGTCGCATCATCGAAGAGGACCACGAGTTTTGTAGTATGGAGGGAGAGTATGTACTGGATGAGGTCAAAGGCGAAGTGGCAGAGTCAGTCATAATGGGTAACCACAATTTCTGAGACCATTCCGCGACTTGTCCATTCCAATAAGTCTTAAGTCCTGGTCGCTTGAAGTTGACACCTGATCCAATATTGTTGATGAGTTCGTAGGTTGGGTATCTGAATCTGAGGTGTTGTTTCTACTGTTAAAGATCCTCTTTTTGCTTGACACTAAAGACCTTGAATAGAGGAACCCTTTTTTTTGGTGGTGGTGGTGGTGGAATCCACAATATTTGAGACATCATAAAGTCGCACACCACCTGGTGAACTAAATACTGTTATTTTACTGTTGCGGTGCCAGAGACAAAGTGTACACAAGGAAACACCAAGGATAGAAGAAGCCTGAGTGGCAGTAACGAACATTAAATGGAAAAAATACTTAAATATTTTGCGAAAGGTTAAGCTTTTTGAAAGTTTAAGCTTTTTATTTGCGAATGGAATGTAATAATAACATTAAGAATTTTTTCAATCCCATTCGTAACCAGTAACACATAAGGGGAATTTAAAAAATTTTTTTTTTTACTACTGAACAAATTCTGTCCCAGAATACATAATAATAATAAAAAACAAATAAAACAGAGTTTTGTAAAAGGTGCCAAAACTTTTCGTGACGACGAAATGGCGCATAATGTTAACAACGGTGATTTGTTAATATCTTGGAGGGGAGAAACTGAAAATAAAATTTTATTAGATAGGTGAGCTTCACATAACTATAAAAGTCGAGCTCATTATAAAACTATAAATTTTTTTTCAAAAAACCAAAAAAAAGCATTATATATATCGTATTTGTTGACCATAGTTCAAATACTATATTTAAGTTAGAAAGTGTTTCCCAACACAAAAAATCAAACGAAGGAATTAAAGTTTCACACAATAGCATATTATGGTATATACGAGCAACGAGAAAATCAAGGGGAAACAAAAGATTTTTTTGAACACTTCGAAT